ATAGTAAAAACGGTAGTATTCTGAAATATAATTTGAAATCTCAATTTTCTCATTTAAATCTCTCTATTTTAAGATGTTTTAAAATGTAATGTATTTCTGTGATGCAAAGCTGAATTTTCAGCATCATTACTCCAGTCCTCAGTCACATGATCCTTCAGGAGTCATTCTAATATGCTGATTTGCTGCTCAATTATTATTGTTACTCAATTATTAATTATGGTTGTTGTTGTTATTATTATCAATGTTGAATTTTTTTTTTTGCTGCTTAATATTTTTGTGGAAACCGTGATACATTTTTTTCCAGAATTCTTTGATGAATAGAAAGTCCAAAAGAACAGCATTTGTTTGAAATATAAATTTTGTAAATACCAGACTCACACTTTTGATCAGTTTAATGTATCCTTGCTGAACAAATGTATTAATTTCCTTTTTTGGTTTTCTTTTTTTTTGTCACAAAAATAATAAGCAGCACTGTTATTTAATAATAAATGTTTCTTGAGCAGCAGATCAGCATATTAGAATTATTACTGAAGACTGGAGTAATGATGCTGAAAATTCAGCTTTGGAAACATATATAAAAACATTTACAAATATAGTTTTTACTGTATTTCTGATCAAATAAATGCAGCCTTGGGGATAAAAAGAGACGTCTCTCAAAAACCTTTGAACTGTAGTGTCCACGGACAACCCTAATATTTTTATCATACAGTATAATACAGTACAGTACACTAATATGTTGTGCTATAGTGTATTATAGTGCAATATAGTATAGTGTTGCCTGATACATGTGGTATGTCAATATGGTATAGTAAAAGTAAGAAACAATACTATTTAATACTTATATGTGACCCTGGAGCACAAAAGCAGTCTTAAGTCGCTGGAGTATATTTGTAGCAATAGCCAAAAATACATTGTATGGGTCAAAATGATAGATTTTTCTTTTATGCCAAAAATCATTAGGATATTAAGTAAAGATCATGTTCCATGAAGATATTTTGTAAATTTCCTACCATAAATATATCAAAACTTAAGTTTTGGTTAGTAATATGCATTGCTAAGAACTTCATTTGGACAACTTTAAAGATGATTTTCTCAATATTTAGATTTTTTTTGCACCCTCAGATTCCAGACATTCAAATAGTTGCATCTTGACCAAATAGTGTCCTATCCTAACAAACCGTACATCAATGGAAAGCTTATCTATTCAGCTTTCATATGATGTATAAATCTCAATTTTGAAAAATTGACACTTAAGACTGGTTTTGTGGTGCAGGGTCACATTTGTGAGTGTCGCCATCTTGGAAGCGCGTAACCGCGCGTCACTCCCGGATAATCAAAAATGGGCAAAGAGGCGGGAGCTGGTTGCTGAAACCACGCCCATCTAGCTCGACGCCGGTGACAGCAGCTGCAATCCACCTGTCACTCAAGTGGCCACACCCTTAATTATGCAGAACTTTAAGGCTTAATATAATTTAAACGGATGAGTTATAAAAAAATTCACCCCCCTCACAGTTGTCATGAAGGGCAAAATTAGCTATATCGACCAAAATAATTTTTTGTACCAGGCTGTGAACACATTTTTTTCTGCTGTAAAGTTGAGCATTTTAACATGGGGAGTCTATGGGACTGACTCCATTTGGAGCCAGCATCTAGCGGACAGTCGATGAATTGTGGTTTTAGTCACTACCGTGTTGGCTTCACGAGAGAGACCACATATGTAATCCACAGCTGGAAGCCTGCAAGCTCGCATCTAAAACGTTTGGTTTTGAAACCAAAATTAGGTCGCTCCCACTATAATAAATAAAGCATTCTGCACTGTCGGTGCCCATAGATTTGACCCATAGACAAAGACATGGACGTAGTGTCCGTGACGTCACCCGTAGGTTTCTGAAGAGCGGTTTTGAAGCTCAAAGTGGGCGGAGCCGGCCGTCGCCATCTTGGAAGCGCGTAACCGCGCGTCACTCCCGGATAATCAAAAATGGGCAAAGAGGCGGGAGCTGGTTGCTGAAACCACGCCCATCTAGCTCGACGCCGGTGACAGCAGCTGCAATCCACCTGTCACTCAAGTGGCCACACCCTTAATTATGCAGAACTTTAAGGCTTAATATAATTTAAACGGATGAGTTATAAAAAAATTCACCCCCCTCACAGTTGTCATGAAGGGCAAAATTAGCTATATCGACCAAAATAATTTTTTGTACCAGGCTGTGAACACATTTTTTTCTGCTGTAAAGTTGAGCATTTTAACATGGGGAGTCTATGGGACTGACTCCCTTTTGGAGCCAGCATCTAGCGGACAGTCGATGAATTGCGGTTTTAGTCACTACCGTGTTGGCTTCACGAGAGAGACCGGAAGGTTGCCGCTTGTCGGTGCCTGAGGGATATCAGAAATATCTGCTCAAGTATCCGGT